GTGGCTATCCTGATTCTGCCTGTTCTTGCTGCGTGCAGTGGAAGATGCTGGACTGGGGAGATCGGAGGTCAGGTGGGCCAAGAACACTCTCTCTTGGGTGGGGACCGTTAATAGCGCCTGCTCCGTGCCCAGAGTCTGCCAGGGCTGAGACATCTGGCGCTGCAGCTCCATCAAGGCACTGGTGCTGGAAGGTGGCAGCCCAACAGCCGGAGGAGGTCCAGCTGGACCCTGGGAACAGTATGGAGATGCAGCTGAGGGGAGGGGCTACTGGGACTGGGGGCTCCTCAAACGGAGACAGCCCCTCAGAGCCGGCCCCCTGGCCAGGCGTCAGCAGAGACGAGATGTCCGACTGGATGAGAAGTGCACGGAATGCAGCATGGAGCCGTGTGCACTTGCACAGCACCCCTCCCAGAGGGTTGGGGCACAAATGAGCCCATGGGCAGCGTTTTGGGATGTAAACCCTAGGTTGGGTTCAACAAACCACTTTGGGTATGCTCAGAGACTCATCAGGATGATTTGAAATGGGAAATAATAGCAAGCATTTGCAAAGAGCCAGAGAGTGGTGGTTGTTGGAGAGAGGAAACGGAGTTCGTGACACAAGGGACCTTTGATGCCATGCTCAGTAAAGAAATTGAGTCTCAGTACCCAAATTCCAATTCAAGTATCTTCCCCCCCCGCCAGTCCAAGCTTTCTGAGCCTGTAAAATCATTTCGTACATGTCCAGAGGTCTTCTCTCATGAATTATGAATCCGGGTGTTGCATGACTGAACTACAAAGGACGTGTGGCTAAAAATCCAACTCTACCTGCATTTCTACTTCATCATGAGGACTAGGATCTTGCCCTCAGGTTCAGATTTCTTTTAACATGCATGCATCTGGCAGTTCCTTCACAAACAGGAGGGGAAAGCTGGTGTTGTTTTGTGCAAGAAACAAAAAAGCAGACATGGTGCCATGCGGACTGCAGTCGTTCTGGTCCCACAGACTGGTGTGAACACTTGGGTCTAATGCGAAAAGACACTGCCAGTGCATGTGCAGTGTGCGATGCTGGATTGTGTGCTAATTGTCCCACGCCTTTAAGCCTGCGGTTGTCCTAGGCGATATATGCAATACTGTCCCATTTTTGCATGATAAGTGCTTCTATATTAATTAATTAATTAGTAACATTATTAACATTCTATATTAATGTTACATGTTAAGTGTTTCTGTATTAATGAAGAACTGGATCTGCACATTTGCATCCACTCACAGGTGCGCACGTTTCCAGTGATGCATCTACCACACACACGTGAACGCGCACAAGAAGAGCCCAGACAGGAAACCATTTTTGCACCAGTCAGACAAATAGTGATGGTTCTATCACTGCAGTACAGAAACGACGGTTGCTATAGTCTTTATTTTAAATAGAGCTGGGAACTAGCAAACCAACTTCATCATTGTGTGCGACAGCCCCTTTGAGCTTCGGAGGGGAGATGCAAGATTCGTCCCTTACCCCCAGCCGCGGCATGGAATAAAGTCCATCTCCTAAAGAGAGTGACTGACACCGTTTGTTAAGTTATTCAGAACATTATCGGCTTCGTTCTCCTGGCAAGGAAAGGCATCTACTTTTAGACTTTTTAAAATTTCTAAAGACTGAGAGAGGGAGAAAAATACCTTGCTGTGATCTAAAGATTGGACATAAAACTATTAGTATTGAAAACTTAGCCAGCACGTAGTGAACTTCATTCATCAACATTCTCTCTGGCAAGGTCTCCATATCGCAGTGTTCATTTTATACTTTAATTTGGTTAGACGGCCTTTGTTTCATCGTCCTATTCAAAAGGGAACAAAGAAGGTTTAGGTGATACAGAAGGGGTAATGCACTATATTTTATCTCTGAGAAGCTCAGGCAAACTCAAGTGGCTCTGATACTCTCCGATTTTTCTTTTCACTCCAGGACATTTGCAAGCACAAATCAGATGGGCAGGATAACCCCCCTCCCCACTGTGGCAGACACCTTCTAGAAGGAAAAAGAACACCTTGTCACCCCAGGAAATTATATTCCCACTTCTGCATACTGTACCGTTGAAGATTATCCCTGCAGCAGAAAGTATGTGCGGCCCCTGGGAGTTCACTGCATACCGAACCGTGATACTAATGAAACATACATAAGCAGTGGCACTCCAGAAAGCAGGGAAATCCTGATTTTGTGTCCCGTTGGTCCACTTAGTGCTTGAATGGAACTGGAGACACAGGACAGGGGGATTTGGCCTTTTAAAATGTTACCTCTTTAGAACAGCAGAAAACTCCGTTTTGCAAGGGATGGTCTTCCCTTCATCAGAACGCCACAATGGGGGATATGGCTTATTTGTACGTCAGAAAGGTGCCATATTCAAGGTCAACATGAATGAGGTTCTCAATACATAGATGATTACGAAAGCAAAACCGAGTGCCCATAAGAGTCTCTTCTCAATCTGCCAAGGGAAGGACATTTAGATGTACTCAGGAAAAAAGCTGTTCTCGTTTTTGTGTGGGTTAGAGGAGCCAAATCTTTCAAAGGGTTAAAAAGGAAAGACCTTATTATTCCTATATGACCCATATGACCATTTGCACCCTTAGCCCTACTCCCACATTTTACAGGGGATATGAGAAAGGGCTGAAGGAACCAGGTTTAACTTTGAGAAGACTTACGTTCACATGAGCATATTAATTGCACAGAATCAAAGTGTCTCCCACCAGTTTGGATCACTGGTTTATCTAATCCAAGATTGTCTTTAAGTAGAAGAGGCTCTCTTAGGTAGAAAGAATGCTGCTAGGTGGCTGCCCTGTGGAAAGAATCCCAGTGGCACTGTAATACATTGATTTTATTATGGATTTATTAATGTATGTTGATGTCGCCTGTAAGCTGCCTTGATGGGATTTCTAACCTGAAAGGCATGGATATGAATTATTGAAATAAACATTGTGGTGTTGTTCCTTGCATGCATTGCTTTGGGAAGGCATGATCCTGAAAAGCAGTTCACTCATGCTTTGAATAAATAAGATACACCATGGGCTATCGCAAGAGGCCAGTTCAAGTTTTACTGAGAGTGGCCTTCTGAATTTGTGGTTGGAGGAATATGACAACTATGGAAGGCCCAGGGTAAAAAAAGGGGGGTACTTTTAGGGCGCAGAGGGAATGCTGGTTCTGCAGGCAGGGTGTTGCCGATAGCCATAAGCCAAGAAGGGCCTCTGTCCAACACATGGGAAGCCATAATCACAACTGTCAGCCCTGGAATAGATATTCTAGTGATAAGACACCCTCACAGGGTATTTCTCCTTCTCCTTGTTCTCTATATCCTCCTCTCCCCCGTTCCTCCATGCACTTTAGTTTATCCTTTTCCAGCACTTCCTCTAACCAGCCTGTTTAGCCAGTAAACACTTAGCAAACTCAGGAAATTGGGTTGGCTGCTCGTATGGCCATGCTATTGAGCTTCGTTAAACCTGGTGATGTTCCCAGCTCTATACGCTGTGCCCGAAAGAGCTACGTTTGGGGATCTGGTTGTTTCAGTTCAGCACAATTCTATGCTTCCCTTGCGTCATTTCATCCATTCAGAGGTACCAGGGAGGCCTCTGTCCCGACTTAGCTGGAAAGGACAAGCAAAATGATCAAGGGTGGTATGTTCTCCCTGAGGAAAAGCTAAAGAATTTCAGATGCCCAAGTCTGCCTGTGGGGCTCAGGAAAGACCAGAAAACAGAGCACCTTCTCCCATTAGGAACTGGTTTACTCTTTTCTCAAAACAACTGATTCTAAAGAAGTGTTCTTGCGACAGCCTTCATACCAGTAAGTGTGCTAAGTCATTACACTGTGACAAGAAGGATGGATGGTTGAAACCGGGAGCTCCATTAGGCAGTCAAGCTATTCCAGTTTCACTACAGGACTAGGGCTAGGGATACAGAGTTGTAAAAAAATACATGTATCTGTTATAAGGGAAGTGTCAGACATGGGCTTACTGGACCTCAGTGCAGGGTCTCAGGGGCATTAAACCTTCTGCAGGATGAGAATGTTTGCAAGGCGCCAGGGACTGCTACTCTTTCATCCTTGCTTGGGTTATTGTTTCCAGATTAGCCACACAGAAATCCAGGATTGTGGCAAGTACTGGTCCAACGGTAATTTTTTCCCTGCAAAGTTGGTCAGGATCAACTGCCTGCATCTGGGAGCTGCTGTTAGTATTTCCTGCGGTGTAACCACAGGGTGTTCCATCGGAGCATCTCAGGGAGCGCAAAGGATGGGCCCCTGGGCACCCGCTCGGGTTGCTGCCAGAGCCCACCAGCAGAGGAGGGGCCGTTGGAGGGGGAGGGCTCTGCCGAGGTGGCCTTCCCAGCTGCAGCTGCACCCGGGGCCATCAGAGGAAATGCGCTGGGAAGGAATGGCGGCAGTGCGTCTGAAGCAGTGTAGCGGAAGAGGCCAGTTAGGTGTTTGCAGACAGGGAATGGGAAATGCGGAGAGGTCTCCAGGATGAAGTATGTATGTCCCCAATTTAGCGTTTGGGATACACTCGTTAAATATACCAACCGACAGTGTTACAAAAGATCCCCCCCCACCCCCGATCTTTGTGTTTAATTGGGAACTTGGGAAGCTGCCTTATGAGCAAGCAGCAGGAGCAGGTGCTTATAAATGAGAGAATCTTTTCTGGATTGGAGAGTGAGGCTTGGAGCATGCCTGGCATTTGCTTTTTCCTTTTCTTCTGGTGCAGCCTTACGGATGCAGTCCTTGTGCTTCTAGTGGGGAAAGAAAACCAACCCTTGTATCCACACGAGTTTGGCCTCCCTGCCCCCTGCCCTGAAATTTCTTAGGACTGCCTGCAAATTTCCCCTTCCTTCTGTGCATTCCAACTTTGTGTCTTGCTCCTCAGGAGGGATGTTGTGACATCCGACACGAATGCCATCCACTTCTCGTATTGAGCTCAACAATGGCTGTGTGCACTTTGACAGTAAAAGTGGGAGAGATCTGCCCATTTTTGATAAAAGAGCAAACCATTAAGTTTATACTTCCTTAAATGTAATGCGGAATATAGGATGCACATGTATACAAGAGTTACTTCCCACTCCAAGAAATGGACTAGAATGTTTATCCAGCAATGTTTACAGATCTTATGACAACTTAAGTTTTCTTGTCCTCTGACAAGGGACATGGATAATGTACATCTCAGGAACATACTGTGTCTGTCTTCAAAATGCAGCATTTATGTGAAAGATTCACAAAAGAATTACAGCTCAAAAATGAAAGACGCGTGGTTCCCACACTACTGACTCAAACAAGCGTGGGTGCAGTCGGACTGGTGGCAGACAGACAATGATTTGAAAACAAGGGGGCGATTCCAGTTTAACATTCTTTTTGCGACTCTCAGATCTGGCAAACTTCTCTGTTTTTATACAGCTAATGCATTTTCTGGCATTGGGGTGTTAGGTACAGAATACTGGCTGATGTTATTTGAAAACGGCGTCTGCCAATGTTTTAATGGAACACGTACGGTCTTGCAATCACTCGCAGCGCCTCTGAAGGTGTATGTTTGCAGGCACATGTTATTCAGGAAGAAGATGCGCTGCAGTTTCCAGGTTCAAGGAAGTGTGGCACCTTCCCGGCATGGCAGGGACATAGTTAAAGCACCATCTTTGAAGGAGAGATTACAACTGGTCTACCCCAGACCAACTGAGGAATGGAAGCCGGGCCTTGTTGGATGTCTGGCTGGCCCTCCTGAAATTCATGAGAGGAAGAAGGAACCAGTTCTGTCTTCATCCTAAACCATCTTCTACACGTATGATTTTATTCTTTTACACCCTTTTTTACCTTAAGTCAAAACAATTCCTGAAGTTGAGAGAGAAAACTCGTGCATGGCACTATTTCAAATGGTGCCTAGGCATTTAAGGAACTGAGTCTCCCTTCAATTCGGAGTGCTGCATCTGAGGACTTTGAAGGGAAACTTGGCCACTGCGGTGTGTGCACACATGTGCCAGACGCAGCTGCCATGACTGTGAATGCATCCTAGCATTTAAGCTCAGGTCCCTTTTGTACCCCAACTCAGAAATGAAGGTAGGTATGGATCAGTCCTTCTCGCAATTTTCACATAGGTAAATACCTTTTGGTTCAGGTATAACTTGATAGAATTAACCCACATCTTAAAATGTAGCTTGAGAAAAGCAGTGCTGAAGACAAGGTGTAAGTATTTTCTAATTCCCTCCCCCACCATTCCAGAAAGACGTATAATCTTATATGATTCTAGAAGTTAGTCCAGCTGTACACTAAAAAAAAATCCTGTCCCAAAATTTGAAAATAACCAATGGCTCCTTGCAGACACCAACTTGAATAAAAATCTATTCATGTGAATGACCTGGGGACACACGGGCAGTGGGAGGGAAGTCGGTCATATATTACAAGCAAAAGAAACACACGTGCAAAATAAGAAAAATGGCCACAATAGAAACTTTCCTTTTCTTAAGAAAAATAGAAGTTATTTCACAAAAAGCTAAAGCATGTTTATTTATGTGAGGTCCTAAAAATTGGAAGGGGCTGGGGGAGAAAAAGAGTGGGAGGAAAAGCTTCACACATTCTTATCAGAAAAATATTTACCAGCCACTCACTCCACTCTATGTCATTTATGATTATCTGGCTACGCGGGAGGATGCCGAGAGCTGCAGAAATTGTTCAAGTAGCTCCCAAAGGACCGCTGCTTCCGTTTGTGAGTCTCTCCAGTTTCTCAAAGAGACGCAGGTGAGGAAAAAGCAATATTTACAAGCGTCACTGCTGCTGTGGAGCAACAGAGCGTTCACCGCCTCGAGACCTAGGTGGCTCAGTTCATGGTTCTTGTGTCGGTGAGTCTGTGGCAGGCCGCTCTTGGTCAAGGTCCACACCGCCTGAGGAGGAGAGAAGAGGCTCAGGGCAGACTCTACGCACTTTTGTTCCTGGTTTGCTCAAGAACTGTAATCCTCCAAACTCGATGGCGGCAGAAGCCTGCTCGAATCTCTCCAGAAAAGGCGCCAGGGCAGGGGGCTGAAGCGACAGTCCAGCAAATCTCCGCAGGGGCTTCAGTGCGCTTTGTGCTTCCACTTCTTATGCTTTTTGTCCTTCTTTTTGCTGGCGCACCTGGAGCAGAACCACTGCATTTCTTCTGGGGGAGCGGCCGTAATCCCGACACATGGCCTGTGCGTTCGGAAACACAGACAGATGGAAGAATACGGATGAGGAGACCCAGCAAGTGAAGCACCTGCTGCGATTTTTAACTAGGCCTGCATGCTTTATTCTGCATGAATAAGCGACAGAAACTTTTACCACAGATTTAACCCTCTTACAGTTGGAACCCCCCCCCCCCCCCCCCGTAACCTAATCATGAGATCAGATGAGACTCCGTTTAGATCACAGGTAAAAAAAGGAGAATGTGTTATATTTGATAATGACATCAATTCTTTTTTTTTTTTAAGGGTTTCACTTTATGAGTATTATGTAAAGAACAGAGTATGACCAAATAGGAGTGGCATTTGGGTTATGTAAGCTCTCAAAAGGTTGTGATATTGTAGTTATGTACATTTTCTCTTTGTATCAAAAACTTCTAGGGATGTGATTTTTTTTTTTTAAATGTATTCAATGGCTTATATTCAGGTTCCTACCGAAATGTTCTTAAATGTTATGGTGTGGGTGTATATATTCTGAGTGTGTTAAAATGCTTTGAATTATATTTTCTTAATTAGTTTTAGCTGCCTTTGATACAATTGAAGTTATACTCAAAACATGTTAGGCATAATCAGAAACTGAAGTGTATCAACAAATTAATAATATAAACTCTTTCACAGCACCTTTTGAGTTCACCTCTGTTGTTTTATTATTTAGAACAGCCTTCCCCTAATCCGATGGTCTTCAGAGGCATTCAAACCACAACTACCAACATTCCCATCCAGAGGGCCACTGACTGGGAATTCTGGGTGTTGGAGTCCAGACACATCTGGAAGGCACGAAATTGGGGAAGGCCAATTTAGACCCCAAACCTGGTGCTGCACTTCCCTTTCACTTTAACTGGGTTTTAACTGGCTTGGCTCTTAGCAGCATCCCTTAAAATGCACACAAACACTGCTGAACATCTGGTCCTCGGGAAACGACTCAGCTCAGTGAAAAACACTATATATGTATCTATCGTGGGCGTGTGTGTGTGTTTTCTTGGACCCTTGAAAGCCTAACAAATGAAGGGTGATTAAAAACAAGGCCGCTAATTCAGCAAGTCGCTCAGGTCCACTTGCGCAGCAGTGGCTCAGATGCTCTTAAGATGTGCTGGAGTCAGGAATATGGCGCTCAGAGAGCAGCGCACCAAACTGCATTGGTGCGTGTGAAATGACAGCACGCGCAGTCCAGGGGCATCCAAGGGCTGCCTCTGGGAAGATGCTCGTCGGTCGAAAGTCACAGCCGAAAGCCTCTGGGTGACGGGGATGGAGCGGCCACAGGGGCGCCCACGGCCTCAGCTGTCTCAGGAATGGCCAGGTCCATCAGCCCGACCTGGTCAAAAGTGCGGGGCAGTGCCCCACAGGGGCAGCAGTCCTGCACCGGGACCAGCGACCCAGCAGGCCTCAGGCTCTTACCAGTGATACCAGTCATCGCAGTCGTCACAACCGATCATCGGGCTGCCGTCATCCGGCTTCTCGCAGCCAGGGCAGATCCAGATCTTGTTGCCCCATTCGTCTCGGATCTGGGACACAGAAACAGGGAGAAGCTGCTGAGGTGCATGGCCAGGAAAAGCATGTGACGTGGCGACTGCTTCCTGACTGGTCCTCCAAGCCACTTGGCAATCCCAGTCTTTCTGGAGAAAAGCTTGCATGCCACCACGGTGTTTGCACAGGGACAGTGTAAATACTCCCCTACTTATCCTTCTATAAACTGTTTCTGTCTAAACAGTAATATGAACTTTCACATTAGTTAGGAAGACGGAATCTGGTAGCTGGGCAGATACCCCCCAATACCAGCAAATCAGAGAAACCTGATTACAAGGGAGGAATACAAATATACTGAGGTATTCCCCCAAACAGGCAAGGGATGGGCACGTTGGCCAGGAATTTGAAATTCAACACACGGACTTAGTCCAAAGGCCAAGATACTCCTATTATTAGAAAATTCTGGGTTTTAAATGGTTAGTTGCTTGGCTGCTTGGAGACACCTCATTTAACAGCTAAACTGCAGAAAGTTGGGACATGACGCTTATCGCAGAGCGGAGGCCAGGCCAGCACAGAACAAGTTAAGCCATCCACGGGCTGGAATGCAGTGGGAGTTCCGCTGCTGCTCTGCACACACGCAAGAAATGGTCTGGGTGTACGGCAGGGAGTGGTGCTCCCTGACTCACACAGGAGCACCTTCCCTTCATCGCCGCCGTCAGACTGACTCAAGGAAAAGCGCGTGCTCCTTTGCTTCGGTTGTCAAACGCTGCAAGGAGGGCTGACGCTTTCGTGCTGTGCTGCCCCTCCCCCCCCCTCCAGAAGACCCTCTGGATGGCATGCCTTTAATATATACAGTGCATGTATTGCTGTGTTATTACTTATTAGCCAAACTCTTCCAACCCAACTAACTGATAAGATCAAGGGTATAAAAATGGTTACTCAGTAACTTTCCATTCCCTTTGACATTTATGTCACAGCTACATTTACTGAAGGGTAAATGAAAAGACAGAGAAAGAGAGAGAGAGAGAATGAGTAGAATGCTTACAGTACTGAGCAAGCGACTGGCAGAATTTGCCTCTTCCATTCATTATAATGCATGCTCAGGATACAATTAATAACAGTGCTAATTATAACAACAATAACGGCATTTACTGCATGCCACAGGAGCTTATCAATGTGCCACTAAATTTCTACAACACAGGTAGATGTAACCAGGAGCTTTCCAAACCTTATGCTATTCATTGTAAAAAGATACCTATATTGCACAAAACCAACAGTGTTTTGCAGAATGGAGGGCTGAAGAAACGCTAAATAAAAGGTTACATTCACAAGGTAAGTTTATAGAGTTATTGATCAGACTAATATAAGCACCACAACATAATCAAGCATCTCCAGGGGCAAACCTTCAATATACAAAGCATGTGCAATGCCCCTCCTCCAATGGCAGCAGCAACAAATATGGCAAAGAATCTTTTTTGGCTTCGTGTAACAAATACCTAAAACGATTTCTCTCTCAAGTTTTCTTTTCGGCTTCACAGACTGAGAGGATCCTCTTATCAAAACTGGGACCTATGAGTCAGGTGCACTTCAGTAAACCCCTACCTGATTAAGATGGAGATTTTGTGATGAAGATTTCAACTGGAGCCAAATCCCTACCTCAAAACTTCCTGTTTGGTTCTAAGCAGATCAATCATTTGGCTGCTCATCTGGTAAATGGGGGGGAACTTCCTTTCTTTTCTGGACTCCCTTCCATTTCCTTTCTCTGAATCACTCTTTACCTAGCTTATTGTAAGATTAGTTGCACTTTGAGTCAGATATTGTGGGATAGGTTTAGATGGCTCTTAGGGTTGTATGCTAAAATTATTCCGGTTGAACTTTTAGATAGGCAGTAGAAACTGAATAGTTCCAACAGGCCTCTGGCTTTTAAAATTGTGCTTGGTCTGTCTTTTAAAGAGAGAATGTTCTGTTTTTATTTTCATGGTGTTGTGATTTTATTGGAATTTATGATACGTTGGTCTGTGTTGTCCTGCTGGACAGAAAAGTGATAAAGAGTTTAAATAAACAATAAAAACTTGGTGTACAGAGGTTGTGTGAGAACTCAAAATTAATGGAACTTGTAAAAGCTGAAAAACAAAGTATATTTAGACTTAGTTTTATGGACTGTTTATCCATTTGTGCTGCTGTTTTTATAAACCATTGCCTGAATCAAGAACAAGTTAGTTACATGTAGGTCCCACTGAAATCAATGGGAAAAGATAGTCATAACTAACAGTTGTCCCATTAATTTCAAGAGAAAGTGAATCACTTTCTCCGGATACGGCTTTATCTCGGCAGCTGTAAGGATCAGACCTATACTTTTATTTCTAATATGTCAAAGCTGTGTTTCCAGGAGTCTCTTTCACTTGGAAATTGTCTTTTCATGTGAAGAGTGAAGGCCGGCTGTGCATTCCATCAAGGCTCTCAGTCCATGCCCCTCTCTGTTTCTTATGTATTTATTTCATCTTTATACTGCCCAATAGCTGAACGCTCTCTGGACAGTTCTCCAAAAAATGCAGGAATGCTTAGGGCTGTGAATCTATTGTGAAGTTGTTACTACAGAAACACCAGCGCCATTGCCAGGAAGATTCCTACATGAACAAAGCCATGGTGGTGCTCAGTGGGAGAGCCTGACTGTGTTTGACTACTGTAACGAGACCTGTTGTCTCAAGCAGTCTCAGAAATCCGGTGCACACAGACATACTGACAAATGAGGTACCACAAGATTTAAACTACTCCAAGGTTCACGGCTGGCAGGGGCATTTCATACTTCTATAGCTGTATGTTGTTTTGTACATGCAAACTGGCGCTTGTCATAAAGATGTCTGTGTATAAGATAATTGTCTGTATCAGATCGATCGATCGATCAATCTATCAATACACCATTCCTTTTAAAAATGACACACACATACAGGCAGGGCTGGTTCACATGTCATCTGCCTCACACCCTGTTTATCTCCCTATGCATGCATGTACAACTGACTTATGTCTGTGTACTCTCACTCCAAGCCACAGTAATTTAGGAGTGGGGACTGAAGCAAAAATTAAACGTCATGCGAAATTTCCCCTCTGCCCCCGACGGCGAATGGCTAAATACCAGCACAAAAATTGGGGACTCCTTTTTTTTTCCCAAGCATCCCCTGCACAGAAACAGAGCAAGTCAGAAGGGGCCTCCTGGGCCATCTAGTCCAGCTACACTCTTGACGTGCCTACCATGAGCACCTGCAGATGGGGCAGAGATTTCAGCATGAAAGCCGGAAGGAGCGAAGCTTAAATTCCCCCTCTCAAGCTTTGGATGCACATGCTCATCATGGTTTTTGAGCATCTGGCACCTCAAGACCAAGTGGACAAGTAAGTTCACCCTTAGAACAGTCTAGTGCAAAATGCGTTTCCTAACTGCTGATGGCTGACGAAGGGACTGAAATTTCCTGTCAAAACCGGGATCATAAAATCCAGGGACTGATTTCCAAAAGCGCAATAAAAGATAAAGGGGCAAAAAATCCAAAGCCAGCTAAAACTGCTTGGGATCATGGGAGGGGACAGCCAGCTGGCCAGGTGCCAGATGCGCTCGGCTCCATGCTGAGAGACTTGTGGGGTGGCTGCACCAGCGGGTGTCTGGGCAAGCTTAGCAGTGCCGGTAATGGGGCCCCTGTGGCTCTTGCTGAGCGAGTCGCTGGAGGGCTCCCCGCGCCCACGCTGGGATTGCCACTCCGGCTCAGAAGACAGGCAACCCATCAGGGATGCAACAAAACCTCGGGGTTGTCAGGGTGGCTTTTTTGCCTCAAGGCATCCTGCATGAAGCGGTTCACATTTGCACGACACAACAATCCACTAAGTCTTGTCATCCACAATAGGTTGTTGTGTCACGTGGACCCTGTCATGGTAACCCACGGCGGCTTGTTGTGTTGTGCAAACCAGATCTGATAGTTGATAAGCATCAAAGCATTATTTACTGAAATGGTAGGCCACGAATAAGAGCTGCACATGGTAGGCATGTTGTGAGCATGTTGTGAGCGGAGCCGGCTAGAGCCGGGGGTCAGACTAGATGGCCCAGGAGACCCCTTCTGACTTGTTCTGTTTCTATGTTTCTATGAAATACCATTTTTACCCCATCTTGTATCTGGGGTAAAAATTTATATGGATGTTCATATTTATTGCTAATTCTTAAGTTGGATGAGAGCCAGCGCATGTGGCAACTCTATGGATATTTACCAATCTATTTCAAGGCCAAGTGTCTTGTGGAAAACTTTAATTTCTGACATTTTTCTGATGGGGAGTATCAAAAGAAAAGTATACATATGAAGCTTAAGAGATGAAACATGCCCGATCCTATGCAGGTTTACAGAAACAAGGCCTACAGCTGCCAATACGCCGCAACCAACACAGGCCTTGTTTCTGTCTGAACTTGTCTAGCCTTGTGTCTTGAGATTATCTGAAACATTTCATTGATCTGCCATGGGGAATGCCACCTCTTAGCAGTAAATTATTGCAATGAGGCTGAAATCTGGTCATCAGCCAAAAGAACAAAAAGTACTTGATCAGCCTTGAGTTCCATAAGCATCAGAAACATTAGCTTTACTTGCTGGATCTTGGAAAACACCTCATTTCACTCGCAACTAACGGAAACATATTTTTGCTGCACCTTTTTTTTGTTGACCACGAAGAATGCACTTTCAATGTACCTCAAATTCTCAGCAGGCAGTAAATATTCTAAGATCTTTAACTGGAAAATGAGGCTGAGAAGGAAGATTTGTTTGTATTATGAATAAAAAGAACAGATGGAAATCTTGGTATAGCAGAAAAATAGTTAACATCACACAACTGCAGAAAATAAATCAGATATGCCGGCTTCTACATTAGGTATGCTAGAGTCCATGTAGTCTATTGGCTTAAATGCAAAAGCCAAGCAATCTGTGACAGAAAGCATTTCAGGCCGAGAAGCCTATGAAATGCCCAAGGCTTCATTCGTGAAGACAGACGGACGGGTAGAGAACTGGGATTAAAGGACACTCACGCTGAAACAGATTACTCTACGTACCACATAATTGCTGACAGTCTCTGTCACCACACTCCGAACCGGCGGTTTGGTGCCCCCCACAGCAGACACGGCTGGAGACAGTGGTGGAATAAGAGCTGGGGATATGGTGGCCGGGGGCAGAGGGGGGACTACTGGAGGAGGAGGAGGGGTGACATGGATGGGGGCCGGTGCAGGAATTGCTGGAGGGGGTGGCGTCTTGGGTCGAGCTTGGAGCGCCGATGGCTTAGCCTCTGGGGTGGACACCACCTTGCTGATGACACTGTCGAGACAAAAAGCAACAAGAAAGGCTCATATACCCCTGCACCAGAATCACGTCCCGAGAACTTGACAACACATACATGCAGATTTTGAAAATGATAAAGGAACAAAAGTTGTGGACACCAAATGCTCGGGCTGACGAGGGCTACTGTTAATGCAGAGGGGTCAGCTTGGGGTTTATTCTAAACGTTTTCTTCAACTGCACATGAATTCAGTGCCGCCTCCCCCAGTCTCGAACACATCAGCACCTCCCAGAATGTTCCTAATGAACACAACAGAAGCATGAAATATCACAGTCCCCTGGTTTCCACGGCACATTTTGTTGGACAAGTGAGGCAAACGTGGAGCTGCACATCAAAACGAACCCTTCCTCCACCCCACTGCGCCTCACAGGTTTCGGAAAAGTAGTAAAACCTTGAAAGCAAGACCGGACGTCAGATACAAAGTGAAGGCGTATGCAAATACGACACCAGCACTAAAATCCCCCAACCAAAAGGCAGTGCCTACGAGGAGGAAGGGAAGCCACCTTTTTGGAACGGTGAGGGAAACTGCCTGTGTGTACGTGTTTGCATTACAGTTTATTACAGCAAGTGAATAATAATGGGGTACAGGGAAAGGCATGGAGAAGAAGGAATTCGTATTTCATTGTGCAACACAAAGATGAAACAAAACACACCATTAGAGAAAGGAAAAAAGATTAAAATAGACTAAGCCACTATATTTTTGGATAAGTTTTTAAATGATCCACAGCACAAATTACATATCTGTTATACATCCCTACGCTTTAGTATGTAATAGAACATACCACCATTTAGATAATTATGCACAAATGTCTACAAAAGGAGCCCTAATATCCACATATTTATTCATTTGTAGGTTATAGCAAGAATAGGACCGTTTTGGAGGGCTTTCATTGATAGGGTTGCTATAACTTAATGGCAGATGACTCAATGGCACAAAGCAACAACAGATTACACCTTAAGACCACCCGTTCGGAAACGGGAAGTTTCATTAAATCCTCCACCCATTGTGGCCATTTATCTTTCCAATGTTGTAATATTAGTCTTTTAGCTGTCAAAAAGAGCATGAAAAATCCATGTGTGCTGACCTTGCGTTACATTTTCAAGAGATGTGTAGGTAATTCAAAAGACCATGTGTATCCTTACATATTAAAGAAATTCCCGTAACAAGTATTATCCAAATCATTACCCCCTCCCAAAAGGAAGCTGCCACTGGGCATTGCCAAAACATATGAATAAGAGAAGCGTTAGCAACATTACAACTCTAACAACTGGCGTATTTAATTAGGTCCTTATCAAAAAAGACAGTGTAGCACCCAGTATATTCGATACATCAAGTTTCGCTGAGTTAAGTGTGGTCTAAGTGTAAGGGACCGCAGGTGGCGCAGTGGTTTAAACCGCTGTGCTGGCTGATCGAAAGGTCGCCGGTTTGAATCTGAACAATGGGGTGAGTTCCCCTGGCTCTGTCCCGTCTCCTGCCAACCTTGCAGTTCGAAAGCATGCAAATGCAAGTAGATAAAAAGGTATCACTTTGGTGGGCAGGTAACAGCGTTCCGTGCACTTCGGTGTTTAGTCATGCCGGCCACATGGCCACGGAGACTGTCTGCGGACAAACGCTGGCTCCCTCGGCCAGGAAACGGAGATGAGCACCGCCCCCTAGAGTCAGGCATGACTGGATTTAATGTCAAGGGGAAACCTTTACCTTTAAGTGTAGTCAAGTGTAACCCCTGCAAAATGGAGAATACTGAAGCGCTCTACCAATTGGCCAAGATGGGGTGCCGCAGTTTATTATTCCACTCTCAGACAATACCCCATGTAAATTTATTCACTGATAATCGATACTTATGCATGTGAGTTGCAGGCCAACACAGTTGTTCAGCCTTAGTCAATATGTCCAGTCACATGGGTAGAACTGAAGCTGTAGGACCAAACCTGGAGTCTCACAAATGTTTCAATTGCACATACTGTTGTGAAGTCATAGCTGACCATTTATGTTTAACACACAAGATAGAAAAAGGCAAAAAGTTATCACTGAGCAAACTTTTTCTGAACGGTCTTCAGATCTGGGTTCCCCCATAAAGTTTATTTCACATGTGAAAATACACGAAACTGCAGCTGACAAGAAAATATATGCCACAGATAAACAGCAGCTACAGCTGGAAGAAACACTATCAATAATGATACTGATATCATCAATTCTGGACCGGCTTCCCAAGTCACATTGTGCTGATAGTGCAATGCGACTTGGGAAGCTGGTGCAGAAATGCAGATTCTAAAGCTGACCAGGGAGAGGAATCCAATCTAAATGAAAAAGATCAACATCAATTCGACGCCAACAAATAGGCCTTGTGGTACAAGGAAAAGTCAGGAAGGCCAATCCTCCATTTTGAATCAAAAGTCAAATCCTTTTCAAGGATATTTGTGGTGGAGGTGGAGTGGAACCACCTAAAAATTTACAAAACAAAACCTTACTCTTCAGGAAATACCTGCCAGGTATAAATAAAGGAATACCATGTAAAACAGAGACAATTCATTTTAAGTGTATTTACCCTACCCCTTAACTTGATAGATGCTCATTTATCAATGTCCTCAAGATTTTGTTAATCAATGTACTCAGATTTAACTTAATCATTCATTATATTTCTCTAGGGACAAGTATTCTCAAAGAAGTAATAAGCTCAGTGCAAAGTATAAATAGCCAGTTAATTAACATTCCATGGGATGCATTATTTCCAAGAAGTCTGAGTTCTGACTCAAGGGAGAACCAGGAATGGACTTGGTTTGCAACAGTAGCCATCCTGGGACACAGGACCAGCCATGACTTCATATTTGCACTAGCCGTTTCTTCTCTTCCAGTTTGACTTAGACTGCTCAGAACCACCTTGCTGGACCAGGGTGGGATCCCCCTAAGTCCAGCAAACAGATTCTTACAGGGACCAACCAGATGCAGAAGACACTGAGGAGGAGCTTCTTAATGGAACGTGGGTCCATGGTTGCTGACACCCCATTTATCTAAAATATCCCTGAAAGGTTTGAAGAAAGGGCAGGTTACACCCTTCCTGGGCAGGTTATTCCACAGCAAAGCTGCTTCCATAGGTTAAACTCAGCTGTGTTGTTATGGAAGATATTCATGGAAGAGAAGGCTGGCTATCTATCTATCTATCTATCTATCTATCTATCTATCTATCTATCTA